CCGGCCTGTTGTCCAGGGCTTAAAAACTCGGGGAAGGCTGGAGGCCAGGCGGAAAATGGTTGGTTAATAAACCCGGAACGGCTTGCAGGTTTTTGGAGCTTTGAGATATTTCTCCCCCGGTGGCAAAAAAACCTGCCAAACCTCCCAGGCCTGGGCGAAACCAAACAGGCTGAAAAAACTTCCCGTTTCTTCCAAAAAAAAGAAAAATTTAAAAAAAAAAAAAAAAAAAGAATAACATTTTATAATTAAATTTTTTCCAGGCAAGAAACAACCTGTATAAACCTTCAGGTGAATAAACGTTTTTGTTGGGCCCTTTTTTTATCTTTGGTTTTTCTTTTTTCTCTTTTTTGTTCCCCTCTGTGGGCCCTTTCACCCTGGGATTTTTCCCTTGGTTATTTCCTTTTTCGCACCAGCCATTTTTAAAAATTTTACAAATTAAAATTTTAATTTTATTTTTTTTTTGGGACGGACTCTCCGGGGCCCCTCCCGCCAAGGGGGGCCTTTGGGGGGAAAAGGGCCGGACGACTGGCCCCCAAAGTTTTTTTCCAAAAACCTCAACTGGGCCAAGGGGCTCTTGGCCCCCCTTTCCCCCCTCTGGGGGGTTCTTCAAATCGGGGCCCATTTCCCTCCCCTGCCCCTTTTTTTCCAAAGCTTTTTCCCGAGGGTAGGCCTGGGAACCGCGATAAGGTGTTGGCCCCCCCCGGCCACCCCCCCAAGCCCAAGCTAATTTCTTTTGTATTTTTTTCCAGTAAGACGGAGGGTGTTTTCCCCACATTGTTAGCCCACCCAAGGGGGATAGGTTTTCTTGATTTCTTCCCCTTGACCCCTTTCCCGTTGGAAAATTTCCCCCCGCCCCACCTTTTTTTTTGGGCCCTCCTAAAAGTGCTGGGGAAATTTCTTACAAGGGGCTTCCCCAAGGGCCACGGTTGCCCTGGGGCCCCCTTTCCCCTTTAGCGGTTTTTTTTCAATTTTATTTTGTTTAAACATATTTGGATGAGGTTTTTCCATAATTTATTTTTCCATATTACTATTTTTATTTATTTCCATTTTTTGGAAATGAACCTTCTGTCTTTTTTTTTTCCAAAAGCAAAATAAATTTTTTTAAATATTAAATTTAAAATTTTATAAAAAGGGCCCCCCCCCATTGTGTTTCCCACTCTAAACCGGTCCCTGGAGAGGACCAATACATGTGGGTTTAGGAGAAAACCTAACAAAAACTAAAACTGGCCACTTGTGAAAATCCCCCTGCCTCTTTTGGTTTATTTTTTTATTTTGCGGAACCTTTTAGGTAAAATTTAATCCCTCATTCCTTGGGCTGGGGCCCCATTCCGGGTTGGGGCCTCAAGGGCCCCCCCCTGTAATTTTTCCCAAAAAGCCCAAAAACTTGGAGGTGCCAAGAACGGGGGTGGGGGCCTTTGGAGCCCTCGGCATGCTTGAAAGAAAACCCCAGGCCCCTGGCAAACATGGGCGGAAAACCCCCTTACCTTCTTACTTAAAAAAATACAAAGTTAGCCCGCCAGGCGTGTACATGCTCACTTGGGAGGCTGAGGTGGACAAGGATGGCTTTTTGAGCCTGGGAGAGGAGGTTGCAGTGAACCAAGATTGTGCCACCATTCTCCAGCCTGAGCAATAAAGCCAGACCTTGGTCTCAAAAAGAAAAACCACTTTTCCTTTTATTTTTTTGAACAGCCCTGTCACTCTGTCGCCAGGGCTGGAGTGCAGTGGCCACAATCTCGGTTCACTGCAAACTTGGCCCTCCCGGGGTTCAAGTGATTCTCCTGCCTCAGCCTCCCAAGTAGCTGGGAACTACCAGGGTGTGCCATACGCCTGGCTAATTTTTTGTATTTTTTAGTAGAGAAGGGTTTCACCCATGTTAAGCCAGGGGATGGTCTTGAACTCCTGACCTCCGTTAATCTGCCCACCTCAGCTCCCAAGGTGCTGGGATTACAGGCGTGAGCCACCATGTCCAGCCAAACAAAACCATCTTTCTGACTCTGTTTTTTTTTTTTTTTTTTTTGAGACAGAGTTTCACTCTTATTGTGCTCAGGCTGGGGAGTGTAATGGCAATGGATCCTTTGGGTCCACTGACAGAACCCTCTCGCCTCCTCGGTTCGAAGCAACGTTGTTCTGCCTCAGTCTCCTGAGTAGCTGGGATTACAGGCACCTGCAACTATGCCCAGCTAATTTTTACATTTTTTTAAGCAGAGATGGGGTTTCACCATGTTGGTCAGGCTGGACTCGAATCCCTGACTTCAGGTAATCCACCTGACTTGGCCCCCCAAAGTGCTAGGATTACAGAC